TTTAACGTAAACGAGTCTTTTTAAACCAAACCTGCGTTTCGGTAAAAATCGAGACCTTCGTTGCACTGCAGTAAATTTTTGACCTGCACTATGGTTCGGTACACTGGCTTTGAAAAAAACTCGTGCTGCAGTAGGCGTTTTTTGGCAATGAAAATTTTAAAATTTAAACAATTTAGGCACAAGGCTGACGAACAGTTAGAGATTAAGCTACACTGCCTATTATTTTTTGACCCTGGAGAAAATTTCGATGTTTATCTGTACAGGATTTAATACCTTGATGAAAAACAGATCCCTACACTCAGATTAAAACGTTGATCTAACGTGCGATCAGACTTTAATGTTCTACAATTTTTGACGATCCAAAATAAGAGATATCAACTTCCACCTCCCCGTTCTTTGTTCAGTAGATGTTTATGAACCGAAAACGCTGATTAACCTGTATATTTTATTGATAATATCGTCTTCTGAAACTCTCAAATTTGGTCGGATATTATATATTTTGACTGGGACTTGGCTGTAGGTGGGATATATTGAAATGCTAAGGGCTATGTGTTTTAGTAATTAAAAACGGATTCAAGTTAGTTTAAGGTACAACAGACAATGATATTGCGCCTACAGGTATTAATTATTTAGTATTTTCTGTCAAATTCTTTTGAATTCCCGTCTTTAGTCATAAAAATCAGATTATTTTGGAAATAATATTCAAAGACGTTCAGAAAGCCCAAAAATAATTATATTTGAAAACGGAAAGCAGGTCATTAATATTTATATGTTTAGGAACAATATTTGAGGAATTGGAGTGACACTTTTCTTTTCAATTCGATTGTAAATTAATTGTTACTTTCTCCGTATTTATAAACGACGCGGAGTCATAATGTTTTCGTTGGGTACACACAACCATGTCTGAATGACATTGTTGAATGATCTTCAGAAGCTCCTATAATTACCAGATCAAAAAACCAAAAGTAGATACATGCCCATAGAACATTCATTAATATTATTTCAGGTATTTCAAATATTCTTATTATTCGTGGTTCTTAAAAAAGTGACAGTCTTGTTATCCGTCTGCTTTAAACTCAAAATCAATTATGATTGGGCAAATATGAGACGGCTATGGTTATCAATCATTGCAGAGCCTTCCAAAGTTCCAAAAATAAAGATATCAAAAAAACAAAACTTGAGAAATGTTGTTAAAACATATATTAACATTATTTGGGAGACTCCACCGCAAGTTATGGTATATCCTTAGTAATAAGTCCGGAACTAGATCCGGTTAGACAAAAAATATACCATTTCTAAGCCGGACATCTGGCGGTTACGACAAATGTTATGTACAGTTGGCACCTAACATATTGCGGTCGCAACCTTTGTTTTAAAACAGGGTATACTTTTGAATTAAATTCAAATTTTATTTTTTAAAAAAAGTTTAAGTATAAAAAATTTCTTGTCGTCGAAAAATGTCGGATACACCTTTTTGTTCCAATTATTCCAATTTAAACGATTATTGGGTCTAAATGTTTTAAAGATTATTATGTATGTATAAAAAATGGTCTAATTATTGAGTTGAAAAAAAAGACTATCGGCGAGTATAAAAATTATACCAAGCATTAGACAAACAAAATGGGGTTAAATTTGATAGCCATTACTGATCTAATGATTGATCTACGATTGACACGACTGTTTCGACCACGCGTACGAGCTGTAATATTTAAGCTACGAGGACGACCTCTTCCACGACCACTTACCACGAGTACGAGTGCGGCGAACAATGGTACTCGGTACAGGTGAATTAGAAGGTGAAGGAAAAACAGGTTCATCTACTGCAGCTGCTTGATTTGTGACATAGATGGTGAACGTAATCAATGCAATAATACTGGGCTCCGTAAACCATCAACAATGTGGGGTGACGACATGTTGTCGGCCACAACTGGGGATTGTGATCTCCAATTAGAGTTACCAAATGATTCTTCATGGACTTCTTCATTTATTCCATCGTAATCATTATCACTATTCATCAGAGCTCACGTCGTTTTGCACCACATCCACTTCACCAAAGAGAGCACGCCCACAATTTACTCTTGCCAAATGATTCGCTTCCTCCACCTGGATGTTTCTAGTACGTCTATTGAATCTTGCGAAGTAACGAGCTTCACGAATAGCTACTTTTGTACGCATTACCTCTTGCACCTCAGGTGGATTTCTTTCTGTACCACGAGTGAAAATGGACGGCTCATAGAGCTCGCCTTCTAATTCACTGGACGGCATGGTAAGGTTCATTGCTATCTTGCGGAAACACCGCTCCAAACCAGACATGACATAGGTCTTGTTTTTTTGAAGCCAGACAAATTCGATTAGTTTTGCAGGCAAGTCCGTGCGATTGTAGTACTGGCTTTGAATTTTTGCGTTCAAGTCCTTCCAACAGCCTTCAATTAAATTCGTATTGATACGCTCTCAAACATTATTTCCTAGGACCTGATCATATCTGGCGTGA